GCAAATGTGAATATAATGACAATATTTTATTTTTGAGGAACTTCTTATTTTAAAATTGTGCTAAAACATGTAATTAACCTTTCTGTGTTTCCCATAGTACACTATCAACAATAAGAAAAACACACTAATACATAGTATATATTACATGCACTCACCACAAATGGAGACAGGGACCACTTCCATTGGGCTCATTTGGTTGAAACAATTCTGAATTAACCGATATTGTTGAACCACCAGTAAAGGTAATGGTATTGCCTGATATGCGCCCATCCACCCAGAAATTTCTATTCTCTCCATTTGTTTGAATTACGAGCTGTGCACGTTCTAAATCATTCTTGTCAGCAACTTGGAATAGAGATCCAAAATCACACTGAGGTTTAGTCGGAAGCGCTGTTATGGAACTAGGACGCGGTAAATCTGTTGAATATACGACAATTACAACATTATTAATAAGACATCACTTATACATGGAATATTTTCAGAACACGTGAATGTGTTGCCGTATAAATGTAAAAGTAGAACTTGAGTATTCATTGACCTTGGGTAAACATTTTGCGGAAAACTATAATATATATATACATATATATATATATATATATATATATATATATATATATATATATATATATATATATATATATATATATATATATATATATAATACATATATGCTTATAACGATCATTGTACCTGCACATAGATACTTCTGATTGTAGTCGCACGTCGTATCATCCAATTTCCAGTCATTGTTGTACCACCTGTAAATATGATTTTTAAAGGCAATTTGTGCTTAAAATGATTTACTCACCTATAAACTCACGCACGACCTTCGTACTACATGACAAGTTGTTCAGATAGCTATTTTATGATGAATATAATTACTCTGCAATGTATATCGTCATTCTGACAGTGTTTAAATAAACATCAAACTGTGTTTCAACATACAAAGCAAATACGGAATAAAATGTAATAATGAGAACAGGCCTTATATTTTGAACTCACCACAAATGGAGACATTGCCCACTTCCATTTGGTTCATTACTGTGAAACAAAGACGAATCTA